GAAGCCGATGTAACAACGACGCCCGGATGAGCGTTGCCGCGTCTGTATATATTGATTTTGTGATTTAACTCCTCTCGTGTCTTGAGCGTGCATGTGATAATGATGTGCCTTTGGAGCGTCTGGAGACGTGTTCGCGTCGGCTAACGACGTAACCTCGACACACAAGGACATACGGTGTGAGAGCGAAGACGACGACAACGACGTCCCGAAGCAGGAAATTTCAAAAACCACCTCCATCTCGCTATAGATAAGTCAATTATGAAATATTTGATAATATCATGCTGATAAACCGGATGTAATTTCGTGTGAAAGGTAATTAATTTTCGAGAAAACAAAATGTAAAGGAAAAATAATGTTTGTTTTCGTTGTTTAGAAGGGGTATGTTTTAAGGGGAAAAGTGTTCTTGCTATGTCATCTCGAGTTGGCGCGCTCATTACAAACTTTTAATTAGTAGTTTCTTGGAGCGGCCGCTCTTCTCTAATTAGTTTTGCTGATTAACCTTTTCACCTGCCGTTTGCCTGCACGTGGGAAGACTTTTTTCGCGCGATTTAATTCGGTTCTATTCGGAAGAGCAAATATTTGCTAAGAACTAAAATTGCCGGTTGTAGATTGGGAGGGTAGTTTCTCCTCTTGTGTTGTCAGTCAGTAACGGGTAGCATCGATCAATCAGCAGCGATCCGGCGTTCGACGTGTCCATGTCAATCACTCACGCAGCCGCACGTCCTCCCGTTAGTTACCGGCTGTTCCTGCTCCGAACGACCGATACCCCGAACCAAATAAACGTGTTTTTTCTTATTATCCCAAGGGAACGGACTGTAGACGCAGAAAAAAAAACCGAAAAGAAAGCTCGACTAATGACATTCTTGGAAACGCGCTTCGAACCCCACAAATTCTATACCATAGTATAGGCTTTTTTAGGGAATGGGTTCTTTAGAAGGTTGATTTTCGATTTCTGTTTGCGACGGTCTGGAAATCTAATCGTCAGAGGGTCAAGCTTGTATAGAAATAGAAAGATCGTGTTCGAATTAGTGATTTCATTTCTATTGTGGTATGTGCAATTTTTTTGTCGCATCCAATTACGGTGGTGTTGGGATAATTTAGATCTCAACTCGATCCAACGTGTGATTAATCAAGCTAATTACGGTTTCGGTGAATTTTTTCCACGCGCAATCTCGCGCCGCGTCCTCGACCAGAATCGCATAAATTATTTTCCATCCGCGATACTGTTGCCGCGGTGCAATATCTATGACTAACAGTTATTGCCGGCCGGGAAACCCGGGAAGCGCACTTTTTATCTTTCCCGGGATTTATGTGGATCTGATAAAAGTTTGTGCGCGACCGAGCGCGCGACTCTAAATAATAGCACGCGCGTTTCGAAATCGTCCAAAAAAGCTTTCCTCTCAGTTTGGACCCCGTCAAAAAAGGGCTCAAAGCCCCAACCCTCGCCCACGCCGCGATTGTACCCCATTATCGTAATAGAACCACCGCTGACGATCGAGAAAAAAAAGGGAGCACGTTTGATCCGGTTACACTCAACCGTGTATGACTATTTTTGCAATTTGCGCCACGTTAAACGATGATTTTTCACGATTGCCGGATGAAAGCAACTGTTCAATTTTTTCTGAAATTTGAAATTACATGAAAATTGACATTGGAAGTGTTATCGGATGTACTATTAACGAAAAAAAAACTCAAACAAAAAAAAAAACAATAATGTGCAAAAAAATACACATTTTAAAGGGATTTTTTTTTGGAAGAGTTAAAAAATGGTTAAAAATTATTAATTCTTCTATTGTAAATAAAAAATCATTACCAGTGTTATTAAATTATTTCTTCTCAGGATGCTACATATAGCCCACACTTTCAGAGCACATCAAGATGCACAGATTACAATGGACAGGACGAAGGATAGGAAAGTAACTTAGAGGAAGACGCGATGATCACGACAAGGATATGATTTTGTCCAGAAACATGAGGAGGGAGGTCATAGATAGAGTGGCAAAAATTGAGAGAGACCAAAGACCGATAACAGTCTGCGAAGTCATTGAAGAAGAAGAATGAAGCTGTTAGGGTTGAAATAGCTTTTTACTTGACCCCGACATGAGAAAGAAGAAAGTTACGCCACAAATTACAAAGTTCCAGGAAAGAGCGTGTTATGGAAGCTAATATAATCGAGAAAATAAGCTATAATGTGTCTTTAGAGCTGACTTACTGGAAAGATTTAAGTTATATACAGTGTGTCCCCGGATTGTGTCCCCGTAAGGTATAATTGACGATAAATTTTTGAATTCAAATTCCATCTTTTACGATTAAAGTCTGGATGTCATAAAACGAAATATAACCAAGTTTTACGTTAAATGTCCTCAAAGTACCAAAGTTAACCCAAGAAGTTTGTTAACCGTTGCAAGTAAAGTGGCCTTTTTGAGCAATGTACAGCAAAAGTTGATTAAAATAAAATGTTTGTTATGTTAAATTATAGCGATATGCCGAATTTTATTAATTTAGGATATAAAAGCAAAATGCAGATTTTTAAATCATAAGATTAACAAAACATTTTCGATCTAAACTAAATTAACATAAAAGCTTCTTCAATGATACCACCACCAACACTAACACATAATTCAGCCCTTTTCCGACATTGTTTATAACTTTTTCAAATATGGTCCAACGGAATTTCTCTAATAACAGTTTCAATTTTTTGTTTGAAACGGTCTAAATTGTTATTAAAATTTTCAGTGTACACTTTTTGTTTTACATAACCCCAAAAATAAAAATCCATAATAGTTAAATCCGGACTTCTTGGCAGCCATGGTTGCGGACCACATCTACCAATCAATTTTTTCCAAATAACGTATTTAAATAATTTCTAATTAAAATAGTCGAATGTGGGCCGCAACCATCTTGTTGAAAATATAATTTATTGCGTTTTTCTAAATCCACGCCGTGAAGATAATTAAATAAACAATTTTCTAGTATTTCCAAATATCGGTGTTGATTCAAATTGCCGTTTATGAAGGAAGGTCCAATAACACCGTCTCACGAAACAGCACACCAGCAATGCGATAATGTGGATTAGTCTTTGACCAGAATCGACAATTTTGTGATGTAACCACTCCATTAGTGGTGAACGATGCTTCGTCCGAAAATATTATGTTTTTTAAAAAGTTCTGTCTTTCAAAATTTTGTACCCAAACCACAAACAATAATCTAAACGTTTTGCTTCATCACCTAATTCGATAGTGAGGTTAAATTTTGGTTTATACGGCAATATTTTATTTTCTCGATAAATTCTTTGTAAATGGGATTTACTTATACCGACTTATAAATTTATTAACAACTCTTAATTGTTTTTTTATCTACTAAAAATCCAAATTTTTCCTCAAATTGTCTTAAAACTGCATTGTAACTAATGTTCCCCAATCCATGGCACTGCGCTGTAAATATTTTATGTTGTAATGTAAACATGATCAATTAATATTTGACAATAGGCTAAAGCTAAGCTATCAAATGATAATTGTTAGTTCACTCAGATCATTTGTTTTTATTGTAAAACGGAATATTAGAAAAAAATTTTCAAGAAAAAACTCATTTTTTCTTTTATATGCTAAATTAATAAAATTCGGCATATCGCTATAATTTAACATAACAAACATTTTATCTTAATCAACTTTTGTTGTACATTGCTCAGAAAGACCACTTTACCTGCAACGGTTGACAAACTTCTTGCGTTAACTTTGGTAGTTTGAGGACATTTGACGTAAAACTTGGTTATATTTCGTTTTGTGACATCCAGACTTTAATTGTAAAAGATGGAATTTGAATTCAAAAATTTATCGTCAATTATACCTTACGGGGACACAATCCGGGGACACACTGTAGTTGCAAAAGACTTAAAAACAATCTATATAATTAAAGCTGTCTTATCATTAACCAGAAGCAAATGCAGCATCACGGGACTTTAAAATCCCTTGGTACTTCGGAATAGGAATAAAAGATTGATTCCATTAAAAGCTAGATTTAATTAAAATTTTATACCTCAAGTTTTTTATTGGTGTTTCTGACCAGCCCCGGATCTAGGGGGGGGGCAAGCCGGGGTCTATGCCCCTGGCAGCAAGTTCATAGGGCGGCCAAATTCATACTTTACAGACCAATAGGCAACTCATCATTTACTTAACTTTGACCACGGAATAAATAATAGTACAAGTATGTTCTATGCGGTACAGGACGTTGGCTAATTGCGAAAGGGTTAAAAGATCTTTGCTTATATTTTCTAAGACAAAAAATGCAAGTTTTTGTGCGTGCTGCAAGATTTACCAGTAACCGTCTTCTACCGCCACATCTGCATTATGTCCTACAGGGTTTATTAATTGGAAAAAAGTTTCAGAGAGATTAACCGAACACGAGGCAACTCAAATGCCCAAAGAGTGTATGATCAAGTGGAAAACACGGGTACAACAAATGAAATCATGCCAGGGTATTGATCAAGACATTGAGAGAGTAATTCACTTAGAGAAAGAAAAATGGAGACAGATCCTGCGTATTGTTATGGATGGTGTATTGTATCTATCCACAAACTGCCTTTCTTCTCATCACACAATGTCCTCAGCCTAGTCAAGGTAACTTCTTGAACTTAATTTCCCTGCTCGCCAAACATAATTCAACTCTTAAGTTTCAATTAGAACACTTAAAAAGGGATAAGTATCATATTTATCAAAGACAATATAGAATGAAATGATTAACATAATGGCAAAAAACAGTTAGAAATAGCATTTTAAATGACATCAAAGAAGCCAAATACTACACTATAATGTTCGACTGCACTCCAGATCCCATACAGAACAAATGAGCCAGGTAATTCGATATGTAAAAAGAACTGGAGATGTGTGTGAAATAAAAGAAAGTTTCATTAATTTCATAGAAATTGCTGGAAAGACAGGAGAGGACATTTGTCAACAGATTTTAGAAAAATTGGCAGTTGATGATTTAGATATTGGACCAATATGGCCGGCATCCATAAAGGAGTACAAGCCAGGATTGCAGAAAAGAATGAGTTGGCCAAGTTCGTACCGTGCTTGGCTCACTCCTTAAATCTTGTAGGTGTTCATTCTGCCTCATCATGCCAGGAAGCTATTAACCTATTTGGAGTGATTCAAAAAGTAGATTGCTTTTTTGTTGGCTCCGCTACCAGGTGGGACATTATGAAAAAATGCGTTAAAACAAATTTAAAAGGAAGTAGTCAGACGAGATGGCCGGCGAAACATGTTGCTGTGAATGCCCTATTAAATAATTTGCCAGAAATAGCGGAAGCCTTAGAAGAAGTTAAGCAAACTTCTCATGCTCCAGAAGCTAAGTACGAGGCATGTCATCTCTTAACTGCTATAAAGGATTTTAAATTTATTGTTAATTTAACTATTTGGGCGAATATTCTCCGCGAAATCAATCGAGTGAATATAGAAATTCAGAAAGAAGATATTATCCTTGCCCGTTCCGTCGCACTAATGGATGGTCTGCTCAAAACTTTGCAAAAAATGAGACAAAATCTAATGGAATATCCGCAAACGTAAACGTAAAAAACATTTCGATGAGATGTGTGAAGACGAATTACAAACACTCCAACCTGTTTAACTATTTTCTAAAGAAATAATGATGGTATTTGATCGAATAATATCAGAAATTAAAAAGAGATTTGATTGTGCTACCATGCTGAATTTGAATTTTGCTTTTCTTAATGGTACTAATATTTTGAAAATGTCAATTGAAGAACTGCAAAAGTATTGAGCAGATCTGGCTCGAAAATAAGAGCGAGATTTAAGCGGCGTTGAATTCTGCCAGGAACTCTACGTTTTTAAAGAGCAAGCTCCGCTTTTATTTGGTGATATAAAAAAGGATAACGGTTTCTATCTTTTGCAACAGATCTATGCGCATGATTTGCAAGATGCTTTTCCTAATATTTGTATTGCCCTGCGAACTTACTGTACGCTTCCTACTACATCCGCAAGCTGTGAGCGAAGTTTTAGCAAACTAAAACTAATTAAAAATTATTTTCGATCTTCTATGTGCCAAGAACGTTTATCGAGTCTTGCAATCTTAGATATAGAAAATCGAATTGCACACGAGTTAAATTATGACAAGGCCATAGATTTATTTGCTGAACAATAAGCTCAAAGAGTAAAATTGTAATTTCAATTCACAAAAGCTATAATATATTTGATTTTTATTTTTATTTTTATTATACATATTTTTATTTTAAATAATATCCTGTGCTGTGTATAAAATATTTATCCTTCACGTTCATGTCTATACATCTGTGAATAAATAGGCTTAACACAGAAAGAACAGCGATGGATGCATTATTTCCGGAAGGCCTATGTAAGCTATGTCCAAATGTCAATCAATTAATGGACATCTGATAGCTGAAATTATATAGATATAAAGGTAAAAATAAATATAAGTGGGTGGGGGCGGCATTTTTCAGTTTTTGCCCCGCTTAAAAAATATTGTAGATCCGGGGCTGTTTCTGACAACGATAAAACCAATCCTTTTATATTAAAGTAATTGAACAAAAAAAATCCAAACTGAAATGTGATATATATAGGGTGTATCTGAATGACTGCAACAAACTTTAAGGGGCGATTTTTTAGTGAATTTTAAAGGTACTTTGATATATGAACCATGGGCGACTTCGGCTCCAATAAGGAGCTACACCCCTCCAAAAATGGCGGAAAATTTTGGTTTAATTTTCTTTTCTCAAAAACCATAAACGCTAGGAAAATGAAATTTTGAAATTGAAAGTACAAATAGGGCGAAATGTGCCCTATTATGAGTTAAACATATTCCCAAAATTTCATTTTCCTAGCGTTTATGGATTTTGAGAAAAAAAAATTAAACCAAAATCTTCCGTCATTTTTAGAGGGGTGTAGTGTTTTAGAGGGAGCTGAAGTCGTTCATATCTTGAAGTTTGTTGCAGTCATTCAAATACACCCTGTATATTATTAGATCCACTATAATTCAGTTTTTTCATTTAACTATTTGATGGATATAATAGGGTTGCACGAACATGTATGTACACGCTGTTTATCATTGTGAGTGACGTGACCTAAGGTAATTTAATAACGTCACGGTAATATTGTAAATTGTAATAGTGTAATCGAAATGTGGTTGGGTTAAATGTTAAAAGTTTTATGATAAAAATTAATTACATTCGAAACGAGTTCGAATTTAGGAAATTGAATGGCTACGAAAAGTAGGATATCTTCGAAGGAGGAAATTTTTACAACTCCGGCGGGTCGCGGGTCCCATCTCGCGGACATTAAAGCCGGCGCCAGGACTCGATGTAACGAGGCGTCTTTACAGTTTCCCGGAAAACTTCCCGGGAACTATGGGGGCGACAAAGTTTTATTATAGCTTGGTCCGGGGGTAGTTTGACTGGATCGCCGGGCATTTATTTTTTTTTGCCCGGTGAGATTATTAAAGTTTTCCATTGCGAAAATTAAGGCGTGTGAAGCGCGGAATTAAAATGTATGAACTCGATGAAGTCGGTCGCCTCCCATTCCTATTTCCGCACGTTAAAAATGCGCATATTTGCCCCAGAAATTAAACGTCGTCTCTCGTCGACTGAGACCTACCGTGTCCCGGATTACACTCGCGCCCGGATTTGAAGCTATGCTCTTCTTCTGTCAACGATTTTCGCTGATGGAGGGAACCCCGGGTAACCTCAGACCGGAGGATTTCGTAACGCAAAAAGGAAAGAGTACGAAGCTCAAAAGCCTCTTGACCGCGTGATTTGGGTTTCAAAGGCCACCAGTCGACTCTGAAAACAGTGGATTTAAAATCGATCGGGAAGTAAATCCTCCGCAATTTCGTTTTGGACGACTATACACAATACTATGAAATGGATGAACGAAGAATCGTGGTTATATTAAATAACGGCGCGGCCTTGTATAAAACCCACTTTGAAAGTGGAGTAATTTGCTCGCGTAATCCGCGATCGATGGAATTTAGAATTCCGATAGCGTTCCATGGCATCGGGTTAAGTGGACATTTCGCGGGACAATTTGTAATTTAGATTAACCGCTTTTTAAGGGACGATCGATACCCAAAAATCCAGTCCGAGGATTTAGAAAAATAAAGATTTTTGATTAACGATTTTTATTTTTAATGATAATGATGTGGCTTTAAGCTTAAACCACCTGCAGGTATCCGAAACCGAATCCCGGATATTTTAACTACCCCTTACCGGGCGACCATAACCATTACGCCATCTATATATTACGTTATTTAACCGAAAACATGGTCGCCTGCGGGCGCGACTACGGTAAAGCGATGAGGGTGGGCGAGGGTAAAGAGGAGGGTGGCATTATTTACCCGCTAACGTGCAGTGCCGTCCCCTTAAATTATTATGGGTTTAATGCCGTCCGTGTTGCTAAATTCCGCGGGCAGCAGGTGATTACGACAAAAACGTACCTCGTTAGTGGTAAAAAGGCGACTCACCAAAAGCGAATTGAAAACTTTTTATCGTTAATTTAATCTCCCGGTTATATCGCAAAACCGCGACCGCGTCACAACCCGGAATTGAAACGTAAAACTAATAGCTCTTATTTTATAGATTTAATTTTAATTAAACCGTGTAGGACGGTCTGGTCATAACGGGGATCCCCCGCAATCGGTATTCAATTGTTAATCCTATTATCTCTTCTTACAATGGAATCTCGCAGCGTCCTTAATTCCTTGTCCTTACAGCGGTTTCCACCTACCGGTAATTGCTTTTCGAAACGGGACCCATAAAATAAATCAAACTTACCCCGAGCTTCCCCCTCTTTGAAATTATCAGTACTCGTTGCGCGCCATCGGAGAACTTGTTATCAAAGAAGTTCTACAATTCCCAGCTACGACGAATTATTGTATAAAAATATCCGGTTTGCCTAATGCAGCCTTTGTCGCGAAAATAAACTCCGAACGAGATTACTACCAAATTACCGATTGCATTGAATTTAGGTCAAGCAATTTCTTTCAGAAAATCCCGATAATTCCGAGAGGGTATGATGGAATTCCCGAAGTAATGAACTGTATATTTTACAAGAACCAACTTTTTTAAATCCATTAAATGTTGATTTATATATTTATTGGTAATAGATGATAGTAAACACTGGTTTTGGTTGTGAATGTGATAAATCGAAATATTCGTTCATACCGCAACCAACCCTATATCATCATTTCCATTGTCCCAAATATTAAAATATCCCCAACGAGGGATCCATTTCGGGTCCTCGGCAGTTATAACGTTTTTGTGCTGACAGTAAACTGTAGGGCGCCAGATGGGGGATATTGCGTGATTCGGGTGAGAAAATTTAGGGGTTGGTTTGTTTCGAGTGTGAGCACGATTAATTGGGAAAAGAGTTAGAAAGTAACGAACATAAATCAGCTATGAAAATTGGCGATATATATTGTTAAACTTGTGCTCCGCGTTTTATTGGTCCTGGTGGAAATCAGAGGTGCACTGCACTCGTCCCGTTGAGAATTATCGACCCGGACCTTCGCATTTGCTTATCGGCACGCGGCCAACTCAATCCCGGCAGTCCCGGAAAAACGACGAACAACCCTCGGGGCGTTGGAAAAACTCGGGAATTTCAAGTATCCCGTCTGTTTACTCTTTCCGTATAATCGCGTCGTTTAAAATTGCCTTTCTGGGAGTGGAAACTCCCAGAAAGAGTCAGATCTGATTGTAATACTATGCGAATTAACATCAACGTCGCTCAGTTTTCTAGTTTTTACGTATAATTGAAAATGATTCGCAAAAAATAATGCGAATATCTGGTCGCAGCGCGAACGTATTTCGAACTGTCACGCCGCAATTGTTAATTTATTGAGCGCGCAGAGAGACGTCGAGTCCGCATTAGGGGCGAGCTTGTCGATGGTCAAATTTATTAAATTATAAATTAACGTTAATGAGTGCAGTAGGAGGGCGAATTGTCGCAGAAGCATCGGTCGCGTAAATGATAAATTTGCCACCGTGCTCATTAGGGCGCAATTTATATGTATGGCAAATGCCCGCCCATCGTCATAATGGACTCATCCTCTGATGAATACATATAGGATTTTTTTTGTAACCTTGAATCCAAACATAACATAATCAACAACGCATTTCAAAATTAAATAACATCCCAACTCGAGATAGTTAAGAAACTTAACGTTTTTCTAATTACTTGTCCTTATCATTTTACATTTACTAGTTTACTCGTTATTGAAATATTATTATAATTCTATTCGAGGTATTTTTAATTGCGCGTCGTGTTTTCACGTTTCCCCCCAGTTTCGGGGTCGATCGATGCTACGCCACTGCCGCCGTCGCGGTATATGTGTTCGCCTCGAAAATAAATAACGCTAAAAGCAGACGTATGAATAAATACATGATGTGCACAACCGATGGGCTCAGTTTCTCTCTTTTTTCGTCTCTGCACTCAAATTGCCGGGAATTAATATAAACACAGCTGGCTTTCCGTCCCCGGCTTTATGAATATGTGATTGCGGATTGAAAGCTTGTCAAACTAGAAAGCATCAACGAAGC